AACTGTCTTTGTAGCTCTTTCTAAATCGAGTGTACTTGCGTGAAAAATGATTATAAACAGCCAGAACATATCTTGTTTTAGTCAAAATTGTACGCTCTATCAGGCTATGTGGCTTGAAAAATTTTCTGACAAAAGGACAAGGACTTGGTTTTCCAGCAGACAGGTTTTCCAGAAACCCTATTATCAACTTTTCTCATTAAACGACAATATGCGCCACATCTAATAGAAAAATGTTCGGGCTAGCCAAAACAGTATTTAGATTGATTTCAGCTGTTGCCAAAATATCAAAAAGAAAGGAGTTCTTGTGATAATGACACACAGTACTACATAGATAATACCCCAACTCTTCTTTTCCATATCTTTAATGACTGGACCCACCCTTTCGAATGTCCTGATCAGCTCACTTTGTAGAGATTTTCAAGAGCTATCCAATGGCATGTTTTCGCAAAATACATAATTTTTCATTATGGCCGAAAACGTACCAAAGGAGTGTTTAAAGCACTTAGATAGTTGAAAATCATTATATCGGCCACGTATTTCAACTATTCATCCATGGGGGCATATTTTTCAAAGACTTATTAATACGCAATTTTGAAGCCCGTGAAATTCTCTCTCGAATGCTATATAAAGTGGCGTAGTTAACGATAAACTGGTTGGACAATATAAGCGATAAACGCTGCTGATCCATGGATTTGTGGAGGTGGGGGCTAGTATTTCTTGTGTTAGGACACCCACGCCCCATTTGCCCTGAATATTATATATATCATTTTGTAGCCCGTGAAATTCTCTATCGAATGATATATAAAGTGGCATGGTTAACGGTAAACTGGTTGGACAATATGAGCGATAAACGCTGCTGACCTATGGATTTGCGGAGGTGGGGACTAGTATTTCTCGTGTCAGGACACCCCCGCCCCATTTGCCCTGAATATTATATCATTTTGTAGCCCGCGAAATTCTCTATCGAATGATGTGCAGTAGTTTGGGTTTTCTTTGAACAAAGAGGAGAAACTGGGAAAATATTCTAAGTAAAGTTCATTAAAGGGGAGAAAAGTCTGAATGCGGAAGTTTGTCCAGGGGGGCTGAAAATGGTTTTTTTGAGATGCTAGTTTTAATCAGCGACAAAAACTACATTAGACTGGTGAATATGAGCTTGATCTGAGAGGGGTCCGATTTTGCTTCTTATCGAACCCCGTCCTTTGTTTTATTGTTAAGTTCATCATATTGTTCCTGATCCTTATTGTGACTGTCTGAGTTTTGATTTTTATCAATCAAATAATAATGTTGAATTCGGTTTGAAAGATTACTTGTTAAACTGCTAACTGCTAATGTTGACCATGGCTGTATTAATTGCGATTCAATTATTTGTATTAATTGTTCAGTTATTTTATCTGCAACAGATTTACTGATTATACTAAATGAATCAGATTCAATTTGCATATATTGATCACAAAATCATTTCATAAACCGGGCAACATCATTTTGATCTTTTTCTTGTCGATTGAATTCATCTATTTTACGTTTCAATTTAATGCATTCATCACTAACATCATAATAAGACGAAAGTTTTAAATTGTCATTTTCGTCAATAATTTCCAAATTTTTAAGTTTATTCACTGCATTTCTTGCAATTTCTTTATCAATCTTCAGATTTCGATGTAAGACGAGCGTGATTGTCATTGTATTTTTATCGATTTGTGAAAGTTTCTTAACTAACTCTATGTATACGTTATCAATTAACGTTTGTAACGCGT